GGTAAATTTTACCTTTTTTCATAATGTTACCTGATATGTTGAAAGTATTGATCCTTTTTATAAAAAGGATCGATATTTTACAATATAATAGGTAAAAATATAATGTAATAGGTAGCGCTTATATTGTAAAGTATCTATCCTTTTTATAAAAGTGTTCATACTTATTTCACTGTGGAAAACATTAATTTAAGGTTATCTTTTGAGTGAGTTTTAAGATATATCAATTTAGTAATTATACGCGTCTAATGATTTATTTTTTATGTTACAGTATATATTATTATTAAATTAAAAACAATAAACATATATATTACATATTTATTATTATCTTTAGTTAATACTGTTAAATTTAAATTCTAAATAATATTTTATAAAATATCAAAACAATCAAATAATTTTTTGTGTAAATGAAATTATTAAATTAATATTGTATGTGGAAAACATGAAACACTATTAAAAATTTTTGAAACATAAATTACATAACTTTCAAAAAAGTTTCGATTCTTTTCACAAAAAGTATCTATACTTTCAACATATCAGGTAAATTTTATCGGTTTTGTCATAATAAAACTGGTTTTGTCATTTTTTTACATGTTATATTGTAAAGTATCTATCCTTTTATAAAAGGATCGATACTTTCAATATATCAGGTAAATCGCTACTGGTTTTGTTACTTTTTTACCGGTTTTGTTATTTTTTTACATGTTATATTATAAAGTATCGATCCTTTTTATAAAAGGATCGATACTTTCAATATATCAGGTAAAACGCTACCGGTTTTGTTATTTTTTACCGGTTATATTGTAAAATATCGATCCTTTTTATAAAAGGATCGATACTTTCAATATATTAGGTAAAGCGCTACCGGTTTTGTTATTTTTTTACCGGTTTTGTTATTTTTTACCGATTTTACCGAAAATGTTAAAAAACATTGATGTTTTATGTAGAAATAATAATTTTTAGGTATTTTTTACGGATTTTGTTATGCCCAACAATAACAAAACCGGTAAAAATAGACTTTTTAATAATAAAATTAGTAAACACAAATTATACAAATTAATTTTAATTTTTTAGTTTGTAAGTTGCCACAATATAACTAATGAAAAAAAGACACGGTATTTCTATTTCGATATTAGCTTTCTAATAATAAAATAAAAAAAATAAAAAATATATATATAATTACAATATAATTTTAAAAAATAATCATAATGAAGTGATGGAAAATATTCATAATTACAATATAACTATAAGCATCAAATACAATAAAATAATATTATTTATTAACAAAATAATAATATTATTTTTAAAATATTAGAATAATGTATTTAATATTATCTATGTCAATATTATTATTAAAATATTATATCTATAATTTTATAAATAAAAAATTATGATTATTATATTTTATTAAAATAAATTTACAATGTTACCGGTATAAATATACCGGTTTTATGATAGAATATGTCAATATAAGCATTACCTATTACATTATATAAGCACTACCTAATATGTTATTATGCTTGATAATGTTTCCAGTAATTAACATATTTTATTATATAAGCGCTACCTATTACATTATATAAACGGTACCTAATATGTTATTGTGCTTGATAATGTTTCCAATAATTAACATATTTTATTATATAAGCGCTACCTATTACATTATATAAGCGCTACCTAATTTATTATTTTACTTGATAATATTTCCGGTTAAATAATATAACATAACTGATCTAAATTTAAATCGGTCACTTATTTAATCGGTCACACCATTTTTTTAACCGTTTTTAACCATCGCATCATAACTACCCGTTGTAAACAGATCCTCTTTAATTACTCCAGTTTAAAGTCTTCCCACCACTCTTCTCCTCACCGCGTGTTTTTCACGTTAAGATTAGACATCCACACAACAACCCCCACGAAATCCTGGGTCACGTGGCGGCAAAAATGATTAGAAATGGCGACAGCCAAAAAAAAAAACAAAAGAATTTGCAACGCTTTGTGTATGTGGCTACTTACATTTTTTTTTGGTTTTCATCGGCTTGGTCTTGAGAGTATATTTTGGAAAGCGGTGGTCCTCCCGTTTGTCGTAAGAGCCTCGCCCATCTCTAGACGATCTGATTCTTTTCTCTGCCGTTGTGTTTTCTTTAATTTTTTTTTATCATAATTTTAATATTTTTATCAAGCTAATGTGATTATAAAGTAGTATATGTTTTAAATACTCTCAATTATTTTATAATGAATGTTCAATCACCTTGCTGCAGCTGCTCCCATTTGTGCTATTGTTTATGATTTAGCATGATGCATGTGGGGTCATTTTTGATTTGTTTTTAATGTGACTTTTTAGTTTAGTTTTTATTTTTATATTTTTTCATTTAAATGTGTTGCCTATTTATCTATTTTTTAATTTCCTATTTTAAATACCCATTTGCATTTCAAAGAGTTTTTTTTAAGATATATAAAAATTAAATTTTATTTCAAAAAGGTAAAATTTTCATATCACTATAAAAATAATAAGTTGTTTTTATTATTTTTTTGTTACAAATCTCGTGGGTACTTCTAATAATGTTAAACTAGACAGTATTATATAGAATGGGCCCCTGAATTATGTCGATCAAAACATCTTGTCTTAGAGATTCGATTAGAGAGTGTTTTGATGGCCTTTAAAAAATGTATATCCTTTTTACAGATAAAAACGAAGATTTCTAAAACTTTCTTATTAACGACTCAGTAGCTTACTTTCAATGACTTCCTGAATAGATTTGATTGTAATGATTCGATTTATAATATCCTTAAAATTGATTCAATATTTTTCTGATTGATACGAATATGTAAATACATGTATTCTTTTAATATGATTTATTTGTATATTAAAAATTATAAAATACATGAGATATAAGATGAAATTTGTGATTAGAGCGTGGACGTGAGGGACAGAGATCGGAGCGTGGAAAAGGGGAAGGGAAAGTATTCCATTTTCCTTGGGAGTGTGGCAGTGACAGTAGAGATACGGTTACGGGCAGAAGTTTTTGATGTATTGGGTATGAGAGTAATAGGGGGCCTCGTGATCGGAGAAGACAGATTCATGGAAGACTGTTCCCTCTAGTCACGTGGGCTCTTTTGACTACCCAAGGACCAACCCTTCGCTTTGTTAGGAGCGCCCCTGTTCTCATTTTACCATATCTTAAAATCAAGTCTAAAATATTATATTTACATTTAATAAATGTTCATAAGCTCATTGTCCATAATCATTTGCTCACTTTTTGTTGTTGATTTCTTTATTATATTAACATTTTGAGATTAATTATTTATTTCTCTCCAATATAGTTATTTTATTCTATAAATCAACATTCACATTAAAACATTAATATATATATTTAACTCACGCATCACTTATTTGTTTTTAGTTTAAAGAACTATATTGATATTTTTTTCCACCACTTTCAAAGTTTTATTTTGATTAATCCGAATTTACTCACGTCGCCCACTTAAATTTGGTGGATGAGTCTCCCACTAGAAATTTTCTGCATATATAAGGACTCGAGCTCGAGACATTGCTTAACAGATATTAAACTATATTGAAATTCTAATTAAATAATTAATAGTTTAAACTATTCTAATTAACTAATATCACTATAATCCACTTTTCTCTTAAAAATTTTAAAATCGTTTATCTCTTTTTTTTCCTTTTTGGTTAATAGAAAAAGACATTAGTATTTGGGTTAATCATTGTCGTTTATATTTCCAATTTTTTCTTTATTTTCATATATCACATATTTATTTTTCCTTCGCATTTTAGTTTTCAATGGTACAATTTTCTTTGCTTTATGTATATGTATTTATGTCTTATGACATATTTTCGGTCGTTTGAATGTTATTTTAGTTTATCTTTTCTCTCAGTGTTGGATTTAACATCGTTGCGACTGATCAAAATAGCACTTATTTGTTATCACGTTGATATTCTCCATTTTGAACTCTCGGATTAGATTTAGATTCACGATTTGTGTTCGTAAATAGTTTTTTTTTCACTTTGCTCGATTTTGAATTATGGTTTGTTGGTGGCCATTTAGTAGCTTTATCCTTTTTTTATGTTTGTTTGTCGATACAATCATATATGTTTGTATGTCATTTGTTTGAGTTTTTTGGCTAAATTTTGAACATTTTCCTTGCATGACCCTTGTGTGATCTTGAATGACTAATTTTTTGTGTTAATGTATATAGAAAAATGTTCTAATTATATAATTAGTTTACTTTTATGATTGTAAACATTCATTATAATTTTGGATATTTCATCATTCTAATAAAACTATCGGTTTCTATAAAAAAAAAACAATATCATTATACAACTAAATTATTAAATTTAAATTTAAAATAGGTAAAGGATCAAAATAACATTTTGACCCTTTTCTTTTTAGTATTCAAAAATCAGCAAACACTTAAAATCCAAGCTTCGAAGTTTTACGAAGAGTGGCATTTTCCCTACACATTTGACTGAGACTGATTGCCTGGCTTATATATTTTCTTTTTCATTCTCAAAAGTAGTCAGGTAGTATTTAACCACATATACATATTTACAATATAGATAAGTTATTTTTAATCTGGCCGTAGCATGCAACCTGGGTCCCCCACTTTCTAGTATCTTTATTTTTTCGCTTGCTATATAGACGCATCTCCATTTGCAATTCACGACAATGTGGACTGCAGGTGCTGACTGCTATTTTCGCTATTTTATCAGCTTATAAATAAACCTACCAGACAAGACAACACCTCTTCTCAGTCATATAAGTTTTCATTCAAAAACTATATTATTGCACTTGGGTCTCAGTTGATACTATTTGGCTCCTTCTCCCCTGTCATTGATCTTTAACTATAAACTCACCATCCCTTCTTCACTTTCAATATCCCTATTCTTTCTTTTTCTCTCTTCATCGTCTGCAAATCCTTTGTTTCTTCATATTCCCATTTGATCCCTTTATTGATATCTATATACTGCTGGAAAAAAAATGATGCACAGGTGCAGTAGTTCTCAAGGAAACATGGTGAGGCCGTGTTCATGTTGCCTGTTCCATAGCCAAAACAACTCCTCCTCGATGCTGATTTCCATGCCGAACCACAAATCTTACGATGAAACGGATATGTATAACTCATTCACGTCCTCTTCATCTTCTTCGGTTGATTGCACTCTCTCCTTGAGAACCCCTTCGACTCGTCTCTGTGAAGACGACGACAGGCGTTCACGACACGACCGCCGCTCCGGTAATTCTTGCATGTGGGACTTGTTGCAAAACAAGAACACGCATGGTTATTCGCAGCAAACGACGAAAGCTAGCCGTGGAAGCAATGGGAACAGCGGTGGCAGCTCGGGCAATGATCCTCTCCTGGCTCGCCGATGTGCTAACTGTGACACAACTTCTACACCGCTTTGGAGGAATGGTCCAAGAGGTCCAAAGGTATTCAAGTTTACAAATGGTTCCTTACATTATATTGTTTTTTTTTCGTTTTTGGTCTTAGATTTTCATTTTTGTTATTGTTGTTTAATATTACAGTCACTTTGCAATGCCTGTGGAATTCGATTCAAAAAGGAAGAAAGGAGAGCATCAGCAGCAAATGCAAATGCTTCAATGGTGGAGCAACAATATCACGGAAACAACAACGATTCATGGACTTCAATGCAATGTTTCTCAACGCCGGTCAATGAAATCAAGTTCATCGAAGATGGAGATCCCTTCCTTTCTTGGAGACTCAATGTCACTGATAGACCAACAAGCTTTGTTCACGACTTTACAAGATGAAAAATGAAAAAGAAAGGAAAATTCCCCTCGCCGTTGACGGTCAAGATCATGTAACAATGACCCAAAGGCATCATAATGTTGAAGTTGATGGAGATTTTGTTTTAGGATGGTGAGAGTGAGACTTGGTCTTCGTTTTCGACTAGTCAAAATTCCCTTTTCTTTCTTTTAGTTTGTTTGCTTTGTTTGTCTTAGGTAATTTTTTTCCTTTCATTTTCATGTTTTCTATAAAAACTTTTATGTTTGAAGGGACTTTCACTTTTTCCCCAGTCCCCCCAATTCTATCAGATATCAGGATCAGGATGAAGATGATGATGATCAGCAGTTCAGCACCGTTAGATTTGAATACTGATTTCCCTGATTCAATGTAATAGATATACGACGTGTAGTTAGCTTACATATACAAAAAATGTACTTTTTTCATGTTATATGAACTGAAGTTTATTACATTACATGAACTGCTGCTACTTCTTGTTGGTTCTTTCCCATTTCTCTGAATTTCACAACTGTAAGAGAAAGTTCAGAGATATAGAAAAAGATTTTGTTTCATTGTCATTAGAATTATTACGTTTGATACTTGTCTGGGATATGGATAAATCTGATCAGCCAATGGCTTTGTGTTTAACAATTTGTGATTGTTCTGACTTGGAGAGGACATTGTTCGGTTCAGACGCATAGTGATGCTATTCGTCGTATTAGGTTTTTGGGGTGCCTTTTCCTAAACCAAATCTGATTCTGATATGGTCATATTCTTGAAATCTTGACCGTCAATTTGGCATCTAATGCACCACCGGTTCACTTTGGGCACTCCAAAATGCAGACCCTTTATTTTGTAAGGTAAATTACTTATTTGGTACCTTATCTATTCTCATGTTTCTATTCTGGTCACCTGATTATTTTTTTGGCAAAATCATATCGTACATTTTTTTCTATTTTCATTGTCAACACACCTTTTAGTCCGGGTATAACACTCTCAACAACCCTGATTTAGTGGTATTCAAAAAACAAACATAACATTAGAATTTTACTAGGATTCAAACTCCTAAAAATATGAGAGTTTTACTAGGATTCAAACTTTTAAAAATATGATAGAGTTCTACTATGATTCAAACTCCTAAAAATATGATCTACAAGTGTTATAATAGACATTGTAACTCACTATTGTAACATAGGATTTACATACAAAATACAGAGGAAAGCACGAAAAAATACAAAGGCAAAGCTATTGTAAACGATTCGAAAATGAAATAAAAGGTAACATCTTTTTTACCTTGATCCGTTCATTTCTCGCATGTGCATGTTATTTTTCTTGAGATTTGGTTTGAATAACTCAAAACGTGGGTTGCGTCGTTGACCAAAAAGGGGTGGGGTTTCGAAGTTTCGAACCTAGATCTACCCCCGAGGCGTGTTCCTATTTTTAAGTATTTAATTCTCCCCCCTAAATCAACTTTTTTGCTTCAAAATTTACCCATCGATTTATATTTCCTTTTGATTCGGTCTCTTATATTTACATTTTAATTATTATTATTTTATTTATTTAACTTTATTTATATGCATATTTCCCTTATTACTCATTTTATTTAATTACTTTGTTATTTTTTTCATGTAATATTTTTTTACATTTTATGCATTTTTTTACTTTAGTATATATTTTATTTTTTAGATTACATATATATATATATATGTTATTTTTTATTATCTGTTTTATTAATTTATATATATATTTACTATTTTTTAGGTTTTTATTATATATATATATATATATTATTTTTACTTTTTTATTATTATTTTATTTATTTGTTTTATTTATATATTTTCCTTCTTTTTCTTTATTTTTTTTATATTTTTACATTTTTATTTTATTTATTTTACTTACTATTTTATCATTGCTTTCTTTATCTTATCTTTTATTTAATTTGTTTTTTTCTTCGTTTTAATTCAATTTATTTATTTATTTCTTACATTTTTTATCTAACATGGTTTTTTGACCTTATTAAGGGCACACCTTTAAAACTATCTAAGGTAAGTAATTGGGATCGTATTTTTATCTTTTAATTTTAAATTACAATTTTCTTAATTTAAGACAACTGGAAATTGCATAGTACCGAAAGGGCAGTTCAAGGGTGCTAACCCTTCCTTGACTGTAACCGACTCCCGAATCCAACACATTTTTGGAAAGACTCAGATCAGGTAAAAAATAGGGTATCCGATCAACCCATTTGTTTTAAAATAAATGATCGGTGGCGACTTCAATTCGTTTAATCCAAGTCGAAGCCCAATTTCGGGTCCAACTGAAAAGACGGTTCCGACAGCTTGGCGACTCCACTGGGGACATGTAAGTGAGTCAGGTTAAGGTAATTTCCAGTTGTCTTTTTAACGAAAAGGATAAGTTTAAATTTTAAGGTAACATTTCGATCCTTATTGCTTACTTTTGATTATATTTTCGAGTAAATAGTTGTACTAACCGTTTTTAATGATTTCAGCCTCCCAAACTTGTTTTTCACTTAAGGCTCTAAACCTGAGCTCTGAACCCTATTTAAGTGAGGGTGAAAATGACGTCTTCGTGTGAATTTATTTAATGCATAGACCTAGCAAGTAGCCTTAGGGATTCATATACCTTATGTCTTCGTGTGAATTTATTCAAGCACAGACATAAGGGAATGTGTCCTCTCGAGTTTAACTTAGTCCACACAAGCTTGTAATAGGCTTAGGACTAAGGGTCTGGCAAGACCAAGGGGGCACCAGCAAGAAGAACTCGGGAACCTTTTTTTAGAACCTAAACCGGGAGAGTATAGTGAATTAGAGCCCACCCCAAAACCTCATTTCCAAACCCTAGGCTACTTTGATATTATTTCATGCTTTATTTCATATTCAAAGCATGTGAACTAGAAATTTATGCGGTTAGTACTTGTTCAAAATCAACTTGCGGGATAGAGATCATGTCTGGGTAGGAATCATAAGCATGTGGGGTAGGACTTTTATTTTCATGACTGATTTAATTATTTTTGCCTCACTAACTCTTTTCATTTTTGTTCTTTTTTATTTTATTTTCATCATTTGTATCATTCAAAAGGGGTGTTGATCCACAAAAACGTGTTTGTTAGACATAAATAATTTGCATTAACGGACAAAGGGGTTGTAATACAAGAGATGAAAATACAGAGGACAGTCTACAAGGTGACTATGTGTCGCATTCAATCCAAAAGACGTGGTGTCCACAATTGAAGAGTATATTACTCTGTTGCATTATAAAGTACTCAGAATGAACCGGGTCAACATCAAGCACAATGAAAGTCTATATTGGAAGAACTGACTGGAAGAGGTTGCAGGGGCAAGATGAAGGTTATTGATCTTGGGGTTCCCTTCAAATACAACAATGGCAAAACGATAGCTGAAATTGGAGACCATTGCTGACGAATTCAAGAAACAGACAAATGAACTTCACATAATTCCTATCAATTGAGGGCTCCAATGACGTATTTGTTGAGAACATGTTCGGAAGAAGATAAATGCCAGAGATGCAGTCATTCGAGACTTCTTGGGCCAGTATAAAAAATAACTCAACATTTGCACGGTTCATCCAGAGAAGTCGGAGCGGTTCGACAGGTTATTCAACCGGTGATAGACGAAGACAGAAGATTAGTCAACATGTCAGAAGCTGTCAGGATATTTTTGTCTCTTAAAAGATAAAACATTTTTGTCCCCTAAAAGATAAAACATTCTTGTCCCCAATAAGGATTATTTATAATAACAGACATGTTTTTGGATCAATACCTTGAACATTTCATGCATTTTTTCCATCTACATTTCATTTTTAAGCATTTTCATAAACATGAAATTTCTTCATGGAGGATTCGATGATGTGGACTTAATTAACCCCATGACACCACATGGAAGCAAGATTTTAAAACTTAAATCAGTACAATGGAAGCTTGATCAGCTGATTATAGGACTAAGCCTGCCAGGGTGATATGAGAAAGGAGTCCCCATATCGTAAGGGCTACGACGCTGAAGCTGTTTGCAATTACCACATAGGAAGCTCCAAACATTCCTCTTAGAACTGTAAGGCACTGAACCGCAAGATCCAAAACCTGACGGATTAAGGGGGCATGGACAGCCGAATAAGGGGGCATTGCATATACCATTTGCACTTAGAGCATTGTTTTGTTTGAACACGTCTTTGATCTTTCATGTTTGCTTAATCTTTTAAATGATTGAATTTATGCTACTTTCTAAGGTGGAATAATTGAACAAATTTTAATCTTTAGTTCTTCGAATATTAAATGAATTAAATATTCTTTTAATTCTTCAAGAATTATAGATTTTTGACATATGGCAAGATTAGATCTTTCTTATCCTGTCTCAAACCCAAACTAAAATACCTTGATTCTTTATCCAAAATAATTCATGGTCATTACCAAAAGACCAGATTTTGACATTACCACCATTTGAAACTTTTGAACCTTTCTTTGAGTCAAAAAAGTCACACCACTTTCTTTTTAGACTCAAAATTGACTTTTGAACATGAGCATTCTTCTAACTCGGGGCATTTCGCAGGGAGCCTGAACATTAAGACATGTCAGGACCAAGAAGTAGAAAGAAGAATTCATTCGAAATAATTCTATCATGCATTAATTACACTATTTTCATATGAATAAAATTAATCCTGAAAATCTATCCCCCTGGGGATACCTCTTATGTGAAGACTTCCATGTATGAAATGATGAACGACTTTCTTTCTTCATCCATTCACAATAGGAGAAAATATATATCCTTTGTGTCCCCTTTTAAGCCTATAGTATTTTTCTTCTGATTCAACCCTAACCAAGGATCACCCTCCACACTGGGGGGCAAGGTGGAAAAAATCTGTTCACGTGAGTGAAGACATCAATCCAAAGGAGATACCAAATGCCAAGTGCGAAGATCAAATCAGAAAAAAAAGAAAAAAGAGAAAAAATGAAGAAAAAAGCAAAGAGAAAATAAAAAAAGAGAAACAAAAATAA